TAAGCAACGCGCTACGTGTAAACGATCTAAACTGTGTGTGATTGTTACGTGTCGCACAAGCTTTAAGGGCATTTAGAAATATTTTAAGGTAAACATGATTTTTTGCTAAAGGTACTTTGACCACGCTGCACATTACACCTTCTGTTTTTATGGCATCGAACTGTTGTCGAATTTTCGTCACGCACCCCTTTTTTTTGGTATCGGGGGGAAATCTTCAAAAGATACACTGTCATGATATGACAGGGTTATGTGGTGTTCGACCCCCTAAAACCCCCTCGGTGGCCACCTTCTTACCTTCAGTACCTTTCGAGGGACTCCGGGATCTCCTACGGAACGCACCGGTGTCCCTCAGTACTGCGCGTGAGCACGCCTCGGAGAAGGATAAACCTTCCCGGTTCCCTCGCCGTCTTGCAGCAGCACGAGACCAGTTCGTGCTGCTGCCAATCCGTGTCCCCTTTTAGTCGCCTTTTACGACAGGCAGGGGATACCTTAGCTCTATTCTACGAGCCCGAGACTACAGGGCCGACGGGGCGGCTCGTCCGTTTCTACCGACCCGGTGTCTTCGTCTCCGAGCGTGGTCGGCCCTCTCCTGTTCCCACTCAGCGGTCTCCTCCTGGAGCATAACAGCTTCGCAGAAGGAGACCAGTGCCATCCAAGCGGATTTCTCCACCAGCGCAGCCGCCACTGCAACTGGTGGAGATAGGTCCTGCCCGATCTTTTGGACCAGGATCCGACGCTCTGACTCCCACGCGGGGCACTCAGCAAGCGTGCGCGGAGTCCCTGTCCCCACCACAGTGGTGGCATTGCGTTGTTGGTTCGCGTCCAATTTTATTTTCGTCACGCACTAGGGGACTAAAATTGGACGCTTCCTAAATCCTTTTCTTATAAAAAATACAAAGTTTATTACAATCGTACTATGACAGCACTTCTTATACCATTAACTGTAGTAGAGCCATACAGCAGCTTCAGCTGTTATACGAATGGGCAGGGGTAGTAACACGGCCTCATAGAAGACCGTGTGTTTGCTTTACGCTGTTCTTGGGTGAGGTAACCGAGGCCGACTTATTTTAATGGTTGTCAACGCATCTGCAAGTCCTGAAGTGGTGTAGACGTCCATGGGCGGCGCTAATAACTTAACGTTAGGTGAACCGTTTGCTTGACAATTATTGACAAAAAAACATTAATTAATAATGCCGTACGTGGTGTTTTATTTCTTATTAATTTTTATATTCTTTTTTCTTGATAATTTAAGTTCGGATTTGGTAATATCTTATAAACATATTAGTTTCTTGATTTAATGACGAGTGAGTCAGCAGTTAGGAAAGTATTTAAAAATGATAAGTAATTTAAAAATACGAAAATAAAAATGATATAAATATTTGCAATGGTTGCATGTGTACCACATATGTAGGTTTCACACAAAAAAGGAAATTTTATTTTTGTGTTTTAATTATTAGAATCTGCCTGTATATTGATGCTTTGCGCAGCGTTTATAAGTGTAACTCATGGCTGAACAACGGCTTCTTGATAGCGATCGATAATTAATCTCGACATTGGTTGAATTTTTTGCGCAATATGAGAATAATGGACGTACATCGTCAAGGAAAACTTTGTAAATGAAACAGTCATTCATCCGTCAACAGTGTGCTCTATGCACAGCCCTGAGACGAGGTTGACCCTGAGACTTATGCAGAGCATGTAACATTGATAATAGGTCTTAATTGTTGTAAGCGTTACTATATGTATATAATGTACATTACAATTTTTGCTGACAAAAAATGACAGTAACACTAAAACAATATAAATTAATAACGGCATTGACAATGGAAAACGCATTTACAAAAATACATATAATTGTTGTAAAAATTAAGTGGTACCTACTGTAAATTCAATAATTCTCAAATATTATTCGCCACTATATTATAAAATGTTGGAAGTAGTGTTAAAAAGCATTTTTGGTACATATTTTATAGAATACTTGTATGTATGTTTGGTATGTACTGAATCAGTAAATCGTGCCGAGTACATAATTATTTGGTTTCATGCTTTAGTTATATATTCTTTTAATTGTTAACATAACACTGTTTATTGAAACTAAATAAATATTCATTCGTATTCACATTAATACATAAAACAGTTATTAAACCAAATTGATTAATGGGTATATGTCTACGTGTTAACTTTAAAATAGCGATCAATCTAAATCTCTCTTTTATTATACTGTATAGATAGAGAGGTATAAAAAACTTGAACCGTTCGAATCGATGTTATAGAAGAATATTTAAATTAATGGGCTAAGCATCAGTGACCACTCAATTCGACGAGTATAAATATTAGAAGTGGCGCATTGAAATTTGACTTTATTTTTCCATATCAACGATATATCCAGTGATGGTTTTATCGGCAAGCTAAGTAGGCCTAGAGCGGTAAATTTTAGGGGACGGCAAATTTGGCCCAATAATTTTTGTCTTACAGAAATAAAGAAGAACATCATTATAAATATAGATAAAATGAGACTTGGAAATTTTACATAATGTAAGACTATTATAACTTTATTCAATTTATTGTCATCAGATAGTACTATTCGTATTATTTCTAAACTGTAACTGCAATAAAATAAAATAAACAACATTTCAACGTTTTGTGTCAAATCTTGGTATAAGTAGGCATACCTTATCCTGTCTTATTACTCGTGTAATCATCAAACAATCATGGTTGTAAAAATAATCTAGAAACTGACATAATGAATTCCTGCCTCAAAATATGCTAATAAAGAGAAAAAGCTCATGTAATGAAGATGATAGAGCACAAATCAAAATGTTGAATTTTATTGACAGAATATGATTTCTAACTATGGTATCAAATTTCAGAAGTTAGTAGGGGCGGCAAAAATGAATGGAATGGCCTATTGGTGAAGAATTTGTAAATCCGCCACCGGATATATCAGCTCAAACTATACATTTATTTGTTTGAGGAGTCAGTGTACTATAAACGAGCACACGATGAGGTTAATGTAACAACTCACATTTGTGACGATCTTATCACGCTATGTTAGAGCAATGAAGGGAGGGAGTACGTACTGGTACTTATATTCTTCTGCATTTTAAAATATTTTCCGATTATGCTGTCCACTAATAAATAATGGCTATCTACCTTGTTAGGCTTAAAGATTTTATATTTTGGACCAGTTGCAATCAGTTGTAAATCATGTGTGTGTGTGTATGTGTGTGAGCATTCTTAAAAAATTTAAATGACATGAACGCTATTTACTTTGTAATTTTTAAAGTATTTTGGCACGAAATATTTATCCTAATATAGAATTTGTTGCCAAAACGGAATGACGTACCATTAAACATTTTATTGCAACATAAAAGAAATATATCAGCTACATTTATAATTAGACATAATTTCATCTGGCCACACAAACAGCATTTCTCCTTGGTGAGCGAGACTAAAGATTTCTGATAACAGGTTCTGGAGAAAAGTATGCCATAGGCCATACTGCATATTTCCGTAAAACACTTAAGTTATGCGGCCCTCGCCCACCTGACGATCTTTCGGAAATAATTTCAGGTGGAACACCCACATTTGGTCGAAGATAATGTTACTTTACATCACTTTACCCAGTTCTATAGTAGTATTAGAAGGATACATCGAAAGCAATCTGTTGTCAGAAGGTAAACCGAAAAAGCTTAATGCATTCGCCGAGTCAACGCATATATTTAAACTGCGTGTTTACTTATGCACACCGCACTGTCGCTTCAAGTTCCCGCGCTGCGGGGTTGCCCTTGCGATCTTAACGCTAAAGACTAGCTATTCAAGATTCACTATAAACTCAAAATATAGTTAACTTTTAGGCGCTCGTGCTTGAAGCAATTAAACGTCGTTTGCGCGCTCTACACTTACGAACACTTACATACACTTACGAATGGTTTGTATGTGTTCGTCTTAATTTGCATATATTCATATTTATCTTTTTTATGATCCTTCTAAGTATGATGCTATTTTAGTCAAAGCTATATTTATTTTATACAGGGAGAATTTAAAAAAAGTGCCCAAATTTACACAGAAAGTTCAGACCCGGTAGTATAATCGTTTATTGATATAAAAACAAACGTTTCTTTTTTATCAAAAAAATTACCATTCTATTCCCCAAAAAAACAGAACTTGTTGACAACGCGGTAGTCATTCATAAATACTTAAATTTTACTGTTCACGCACACAAATGAACTTGTGTGCGTGTAGTTATGAATGATCGCGCGTAAAATAAATGAGTTGCGTATAAATCACGCACTTTTTGAGATAAGTTCAATGAATGTAATTAATTACTTACGAGTGATTTAAAATATTTATCATATTTTATATAACTTTATTTATGTCTAGAATTTAATTAAAAAAAATGGATGCACTTAGAAAAGCCTCCTATATGAATGATTTTCTTTCGACAACACCTGTCCAAACGTGAACGCATGCAGTATGACTCAAAGATAAAACTCAAAGATAAGTTTTGTAGTCGATATACAATAAGATTAATTGCGTAAAACATTATACCAAAGTTGCAAAAGTAGCTCTAGCACTAGCCCACTTCTCTTATATAAAAGGAGACGCCTTAAGGCAAAAACGACTTCCGTACTAAAGGTCTAGGCAGAGTTTGCAGTGCAATACTTGGTGAAATTACTTTATGTTATTTTAAATCCCCAAGAATCGTATCCAGATATTTGACATCATTGATGAATCGGCTGTGTTTAAAGCAATAACACGATGATTTGGTTGCACCATTGTAATAGAAGCTCTTTTACATTTGTGCTCATGTGAAAAATATACTCCCAACCAAAATCCGGGTAGCGGCTTCACCTCCGGAAATCTTATATTTTTTATTTTCACTGCAGCATATAATTCTTGTTGCAGATAGCGCTGTACTAGTGACATGTGACAATGGACTAAGCGTGGTGCAAAAGCAAGTTTAATGTTAGTGGTGAGAGACCAGTGCGAGATTCAAGATGCATACAATGGACACAATGGGCTATGGCCACAAGAAGTACCGGCCTCCAATTTCCCCCACAAACTTCTACCACCACGACTATTACTCGCGGCATAACACGCTCCGACCTCAAGTAAGTTGCATGCACTATTTATAACAATTACGGGTTATTAACAATTATCGAATTTATATATTGCACAAAAGATAAATTCTGAGGTCACACTGAATTAAATTTAGCACGGTATAATAATCTACAGCCATAGAGTTATCATGCACTGTTGTCACGGTGCGGGGGTCGTGGGATCGATTCCTTCACAAGACAAATATTTGTGTGACCCACAGATCGTAAGTAATACATCCCTACAACACAGGATAATAAGGGGACAATGTTTTCGAAGGGAGGACTATAATAAACCATAAAATATACTACTAAAACAGAATTGTTGTACATTGCTAAGCGGTGTAGTTACTGCCAATAATAATGTATCTTCAAATGAGTATTTCATTAAATATCAGTTATAAATTTGCGAGAAACTGAAACGTAGAATTATAGTTATGGTACTGATTTACTAAAGTTTTTTTTTTGTGTATAAACTATGATAGTATTTATTATTTATTTATTACATAAAATAAGTAAATGTCAAACTTTCACTATAAATATTTTTAAATAAATAAAGGTGGTCAAAAAAGCATCAGCTTAGGGCCGGCGGTTTCCGTTATAAGTGTTGGTCGCGCTGCCCTCCCAACGGTACACTACAATGATCGTTTAAATGGAATCAAAGCCGAAGCTATAATTTAGTTTATTAAAAATAGAATACGGATACAGATTGTAACAGGAGATTCTGTGCCCATAGTGAAACTTTAAAAAGTTATGTGTCTAGAGGCTTCTTGAATATAAGGCGGTGATAAAATTAGAATGATAAGCTAACAAAAAGATTTTTGTTCTAAGTGGGGTAATATCAACGTCAACAACAAGTTTTAATTTTATAAATTAAAACTTGTTGTTGAACCGATAGCGCCTTAGCTGTCAAGTAATTTTTGCAAGCGGTTATCACCCACGGTCGGACCACATTAGCGATAAAATCGAAATGCAGGCAGTGTGAGAAACTCTACATAGGTACTTATTTATATACATTAAAATATGTATAAGTATAAAACGTAAATTCATTCACACTTTGTGGGTGCATCTACATTTGCAGTCGTGCCAAATCATTTTGCATTTTATAACCCGCGTTATCTCTTGCATAAATTTAATTTAGATTATTTTTAGAGGACATGAGGGGCCAATAATTGATTCATTCGAAGCGATTCGGCCCACGGCGCGGATCGATCGTTAGCCTCGCACACACGAGATCTCGGAATAGCGATTCTTTTATCGCTTTAAGGGTTCCGTACCCAAAGAGTCAAACGGCACCCTATTACTAAGACTCCGCTGTCCGTCTGTCACCAGGCTGTATCTCATGAACCGTGAAAGTTATACTTCTCAAATTTTCACAGATGATGTATTTCTGTTGCCGCTATAACAACAAATACAATAACAGAATAAAAATATTTAAGTGCGGCCATACAGACATGAGTAATGGTATGGAACCAATAGTGCGCGAGTCTGACTTGTACTTGGCTGGTTTTTCTATATAAATAAAATAATAGATTTCATTCTTATAAGTTTTCTTTCTTACCTGGCACTTATCTAAAAAAAATTATGATATCTTTATTTAATGTGAAGTTATAATTAATTACACTAGTTTACAAAATTGAACTTTTTTTTATACAAAATAAATGTATATAAATATGTTCATCTACCTTTCTTAAACCAAAAAGTGTCTTTCTTCCTGCAGTCAAATGTTTTTTTAACTACCTGACGTGGTGACCATAGTATATTGTTTATTCGTTTGGTTAAAAGCACAATTATCTTGTATCGGATTGATTTAAATTTGGGTTTTAATTGGGGTATGAAAACCGTGTAAACTAGTGTTAAGTATTAAGAAACAACAGTGTTGTTTATAAGGACTGCGTGTTGAGCGATGTGTATTTTCCTGTAGAACTAGATGTTTTCTTACCGTGCGTTGTAGATAAAATACATTGTTAGTATAATTAGCAACGCAGATGAAGTCGCGGGTATTGCTAGTTATCAAGTCTAAAAAACTTGTTACTAACATGTTTTTTTATTAATATAAAACCAGCTGCGGAGACATTTTAAATATGGTCATAAATTTGTACAAATGTAATAGAAAGGCTATTCGTATAGTATATATTAGAATTTAGAACTATTACTGACTTTCTGATACAAATACCTGTAATAATTATTGTAATAAATATTTAGGCAACAATATTTTCATCATGTAATCTGCAGACGACTCCTGAAGGCATTTAAAGCGACCAAAAATATCAATATTATATTTTATTTTTAGGATACTAAAAGTCAGGCCTTTTTATTGAAGAGGTGGTAGTCAGAACATAATACTTTGAATACATTTACAAGAACTCCAACATCTAGACGTAGAGCGGTGGTCTAACGTCAACAAAAGTTTCTATTACATAATACGCTTTGAACAACAACAACACGTGCTTGAATACATATTTATTCTAACGCAAGGCTGTGAGTATCATCACAATAATTCAACGTATGTTATTGCGAATGTCAAGACATAAGAACGTATAAAATAAATGTAATTCTATGTTAAGGATATTCAGTAATAATGTGTTTATTTTATTCTGATTAAGTTTTATAAAAGTCTTAATAATCGATGTAAAAATTAATAAAGTTTCGTCGATTATGTAAGTGCGAGTCCATGATATGTTTTCACATATCATCCAAGACAAGTGAGAGTTTGACATGACTGAGATTGAACAAATTTTACTTAAATTAGTAAGTTTCGATTATCGATTCTAAACGACTTGTATTTAGTATTGAACATAAACTGATGGGATGGATAAATAGGGAAAAATGGATACCAGATACCGGATTTATTTTGTTTATCCCTTCTGTGCCTTATGTCTCTTCATCTGTGGTGAGATGACCCAAGTAACGTCACTATCCATGTGCTCCTAGCAATAAAGTACAGCATTGCCTTGCGTACATTGTAGCGTCTCAAATTACGGAAATTGAGAGGTATGATATAAAAGATCGCTGATACGCGATCCAAGCGAACTTTAAATGACTACGCAAAAAGAAATTCATAGATAAATAAATATTCACATCTGCTAGCGCGGTAGATAGACGAAAGAGGGTTCTGTTAGACGATTACTTGAAAAAAAGACACTTCTCTGTATCTTGCTCCAGTGAACCACATGGCATCGCGTCATTATGTCTCACAAACGCCTCACCCAATGAGTTTCCTAACGGTGCTGACAGAACTCGCGCCGGACTTGGAAGATGGAAATTATGGTAATGTAGATGTGAAATGGTCTTAATGGCGCCACTCCTCCGGCTGATGCTTGCACATAATGTTCCGAATTATTGCTGTTGGGATTAAACCGGAAATTAATCGTATATAATGTCCGTATGATCTCAACGTACTCCAAAATGGTAGTATACACATATTACAGAGTTTACTTGATACGCATATAATAGGGCTTTATTAATTTATTATCATTTAAGTGATAATAAATTAGGCTCTATTAAATGTACACTAATTTTCAATAATCAAAAATTAAATAATATGAACAGAGATTAGTTTTATATTTTTAAGGCGTATTTAGTAAAACCTTAAATATTTAATATTAAAGAACTTTGAAATGTCGGGGCTTACTTTCTATGAATTAAGGCACGGGAGCTTTACGAGCTTGGGAGCTTTACAATCTGTAAAAAGTAAAAGAGAAACTATGTATTAAATTATTGAAAGCTGTGTAATTTGGTGGGCATTATGTTTAACCATCCTTTTGGCAACTTAAATGATATTTGAAAAGCCATTTGACAGCTGATTAGTTAATTTCTAACATTATCAGTGTTTCAGAAACTAGGCGTAGTAAATGATATAGAACCAGTCTTTGTTTTTTTATGTCCGGCGAATCTCGTTCGAATACCTGCGTATAGCGTACGAATAGCGGCGTGGATTCATTATAGAAAAAAATCCGTGCATAAGCAACGGCCAAGAAACGCGTGCATGAATAAAAACGGAATCCCGTTACAATAAATGGAACTCCTAGACCGAATCGGACGATATCCCCCGAAGTGCTTACCGGGATGATGGTGTAACGAACGCGTGTGCGCGCGTGCGAAGCCGGGCGGCACGCGAAGCTCATCTGATGCCCACCTAAAAACCTAGGAAGAGCACCCGTTGTGCATCTAATGAATGATGATAACAAATCTTCCGCTTTATAGGGTTCCGTACAAAAAAGGGTAAAATGGAACAATATTACTAAGACTTCGCTGTGTCTGTCTGTCCGTCTATCACCAGGCTGTATCTCATGAACCGTGACAGATAGACAGTTGAAATTTTCACAGATGACGTATTTCTATTGCCGCTATAACAACAAATACTAAAAACAGAATAAAAAAATATTTAAGTTGGGCTCTCTCTTACAACAGACATGATTTATTTGCCGTTTTTATAGATATTAGTACGGAACCCTTCGTGCGTGAGTCCAACTCGCACCTAGCCGGATTTTTTTAATCGCCTCTCGCGAAGACAGGAGCCGATGGAAGCGCTTACGAGAACAACACGCCTGACCAAACACACCACGCGCTGACGCTGCTCGTCTTTCGCAATTGAATATTAATTTCTCCATTATTTTACCGTGATCGGTGATTGATTATCATACGAAAAAATGAGTGAGTCATGCGTCTGGCTCATTATTTAAATATAGGTAAAACAGGACCTTTATATTTTTTGTTTTTTGCATCGTTTAACAAATAAATTCTTAATATCCATTGTAGAGTATTTTTGTACGATATTGTAGAGTAAAGAGGCAAATACGTTAATTTCATTATATAGTAATACTATCAGTAGTAGGTATAATAAATAATATTATTATTTGTATAATCAAGCTAATGCCAATACATAATTTATGATGTCATTATTTCATAGAGTTCTCTATTTTGTAAAACAAAAAAGTTGTCTGCCGCTGTCTGGCCACAAGAGTTCAGAGGCCACATAACGGTCTTTAACAAACGGAATTTTATGTCAACTT